ACAACAACACTGGCACCGAGGACATTACACAGTATGATGGCCAGTGTTCTTGCTTACGTACATTTGGACTGGACGGCTGAAAATCCCCGAGGTCCCTTTTCAATGCTGCCATCCTGGGATTCTGAGGACTTCATCAGCTGAAGGCCCTCTGGGGCTATAACCAGAGCATGTGACAAACTCTCAACTTGACTACCTGATAATTTCATTTTCAAATCGTAGAGGAAACGCCAGGGAGATTCTGACCAGGAAAAAGGTACTGGCTGAAGAATTGGAAAATGAGGGGATGCCCATCAGGTGGAGAATGGCTGAACACGCTGTGGTATACGAATGTGATGGAATACTACTGTGCTATAAGAAACGATGAGCAGACGGACTTCAGAAAAACCTGCAAAGACTTGTATGGACTGGTGCTGAGTGAAGTGAGCAGAACCAGGAGAACGTCGTACACAGCAACAGCAACGTTGTGTGATGACTAATGTTGATAGACTTAGCCCTTCTCAGCAATACAAGGATCTAAGACATCTCCAAAGGCCTCATGATGCAAAATGCCGTCCACATCCAGAGAAAGAACCATGGAGTCTGACTGCAGATCAAAGCAGACTGTTTGCTCTTTCTCTCTTTTTTTTCTTCTTTCTCATGGTTCTTCCCATTCATTCTAATTCTTTATGACTAATGTGAAAATATGTTTAATAAGAATGTATATACACACACACACACCACATATATACATATATATATGTAGAGAGAGAGAGAAAGAGAAAGAGAGCTCATATCAGATTGCACGCCATCTGGGGAGGGGGAGACAATGAAAAACTCAAAAGCTTATAGGAGTGAATGTTCATATTATTATTATTATTTTTTTTGGTGACTTGCCTAGGGTCACACAGATAATATGTCCAGTGTCTGAGGCTGGATTTGAACTCAGGTCTTCCTGAGTCCAGGGCTGGTACTCTATCCACTGCGCCACCTTGCTGCCCCTAGCCAGATCTGTTCTTTTTTATTATTACTATTTTTTATTAATTTATTTTGATTTATCAACAATCACTTCCATATCCTTTTGAGTTTAAAATTTTTCTCCCCCTTCCTCCCCATCACCCTTCCCAAGACGGCGCACAATCTGATACAGGCTATACATATACATTCCTATTAAACATATTTTCACATTAGTGATGTTGTAAGTAGGAATTAGAACCAATAGGAGGAAACACTAGAAAGAGGAAACAAAACTCAACAGAAAAGAAAAAACATTGCAAATAGTATGCTTTGATCTGCATTCAAACTCCATAGTTCTTTCTCTGGATGTGGATAGCATGTTCCATCACGAGGCTTTTGGAAGTGTCTTAAAGCCTTGTATTGCTGAGAAGGGCTAAGTCTATCAACATTAGTCATCACACAACGTTGCTGTTGCTGTGTACAACGTTCTCCTGGTTCTGCTCACTTCACTCAGCATCAGATCATACAAGTCTTTCCAGGTTTTTCTGAAGTCTGCCTGCTCATCATTTCTTATAGCACAATAGTATTCCATTACATTCATATACCACAATTTGCTCAGCCATTCCCCAATTGATGAGCATCCTCTCAATTTCCAATTCTTTGCCACCACAAAAAGAGCTGCTATGAATACTTTTGTACACGTGGGTCCTTTTCCCATTTGTATGATCTCTCTGGTAGACAGCC